AGCGCATGCGTATCAATGACGTTTATATAAGGTCCGGGCCAACAGAAGCAAAAAGATTGTTAACATTCACACTTAGAAATAACTACTTTTACACAAGACGTGATCCATATTGAACGTAATTCGTGGAACGTAAACAAACGTTTCATGTAAAACAAATTCTCAATATAGGTATTTTTTGAATAGGCGTAACGTCTAAATATCGATAATCAATATTCGACGCCATGTTGGAATTCAAGATGGCGGCCATCATTTTCCAGAAAACATGTCAAATACCCTAAGATATGGGTATTTTTGGAACGGGGACGACACGTAAATGCTGAAAATTGATATTCGACGTCATTTGTGGGGTATTTGCTACTTCTTCTGATATCGGAAGTCACCGTTTTGAATATCAAGATGGAGCCGGACATCGGTTTCCGGTCTCTAGATATCACCCCGATATCACAGAAGGCATGTTCATCGTGACTCGATATCAAGAAACACAATGGTTTAAACAATGGCGATTCTGTGGAGGGTTCATTTTCGTTTCTTTGTTTCGGAAATGCAGAACCCTGCTTAGAAGTCCTACTGACTACCGCTGCAAGTGGAAATTCTTTCCCATTTCACCCGGACTTCCCACGGAAAACTTTTCTGAATTATTCTGAAAGTTTCATACGGGTGCCTAAATTTTCATGAGACTTCTGACTCCCAGAAATTTCTTTCATCTTTTCCTGGAAGTATCTTCTAACTTCGCCCGGGAATTTATGACAGATTGACTCAGAAGCGTCTACCGCTTTCGTTTAAAAGATTCTTCGTCAGGAAGTTTTCCCAACTTTTCGGGAAGTTTCTTCGAGCTTTTCTGACGATGGTGTCTTTCTACTTCGCCGGATTTTTTTAAAATTATTTCTCTCCGAAAATTCTTCTGACATCCCCCGGAAGACACTTCTGACTTTACCTGGAACTTTCTACATGCCACCCCCCCCCCCAAAGTCTTCCAATTAACACGGGAAGCATTTCCAGTGCAAATTGCTTTCAACTTTTTCTGGCAGATTCCTCGAACATCCCAAAGACGTGTCTAGTGGCTCCTCTGGATAGGCTCTTATATTACCACATTACTTATATACTAAGGAAATCCTGGGATGTATGGTTAAATATGTTTAGCATGGTTTTTGCACAAAACAAAATTGTTTCCCGGGAAGTCAAACTAGTTTCCGGGGAATCGGGAAATGAGAATTCTGGTAAATTTCTCGAGTAGGAAACACTAAGAAGCTGGAATTTGGCCAAATGTTTTGAGAACATTTTTTTTAACTCATGAAAATTAATACTCAATCTCACGAAATCGGTCAAAGAGGCTTCTCATCTTGTTGCACTACATGCCTGAAATGAGGAAACTCTTCATTAATAATTACTGCGCAACGTGATTAGCAAAATTTTATTTACAGGCATTCATAATGGAAGAGGGATATAAATCTCTGAGAATATTTAGCTAGAAAAAGTTAGAGTTAGGGTCAACTCTTCTGTAGTAAGGTCCGTTGTTTCCCCTGATACTCCAAAAAGACACCAATGAATTATATCGTTCGGCCATTTTCACAGAGATGGCGCTATTCCACTGGTAGGAAATGATAAAAATACCCATATAGAAATTGAGAGAAGTACGAATAATTCACTTTTGATGCATATTCAGGTCAAAAACCGGAACGACAACCAAAATAAATTAGTCAGGGACTTTGACGTTCAATTTTTTTCCTAGAAATTATTGTAAAACAAGCTACAATTATTTTACCTCATTCAGTTTTGCCTGCTTTACTACCAGTCCCCAGAGAGCCTAAAAATTCAAATTTGATAGAGAAAATTTGCTCTCACTAGTTCAATTTCTCAACATGCCATGTATTTTGATGACAGTCTATTTGTGATTTCCTTTTCACAGACTACAAAATAGAGTACCTGACACTGCAAAACATGTCTGGTTACCAGACTCTGGTACCTCTATTTACGCATTTTGATCAACATCCGAAGTCAATGCCCTTTTTTACATATTCTGCACAACAAATACTTTCTGCCCCGCCCCATAGATAAACATCGGTGGGAAATCATGTGAGGGGTGAGCTATATTGTGTGCAGAATGTGTAAAAAGGGAGAGACTTCGGATGTTAATCTAAATGTATATATAGAGGTACCATACATGTTTTGCACTGCACTGTCCTCCACAATTAATGTAAAACAAATTATGTGTAGTTTCCGATAGATGTCACCGCCAACAACAGCAGTGACATCTGATGGAAAATAAATGCAAAAGCTTGACAAAATGATTAATAGACACGAGTGAAAAAAGTGAACAGGAACGGAATGAATTTTCATCGTCTGGTGTTGTTGTGATTATCCATTAGACTGATGCAAAATTTGAAATTTTCACTCCACAATACTTAAACGATTCCAAATCGGATCCTGACTAACCTCTCAAAATTTGAACCCATTTGGTGAGAAACTGAGATGGCACAAACCATTTGAAGTTTATATGGGAATTACTATGGTGAAACCAAGATTTTTGTTCATGTCTATCTACTAATTTACCATATCGGTTTGCTTCAAAAGCTTTCAATTGTGCTTGTAGGAAATTCTCCCAGCTACAACTTTGCTGAAGACCACTTTTTTATTAAATGCAAGGATCGAAAGTTATCAATGGTTCAATGAGCTGATGTCTTATGATCATGCTCAATCAACTGCTCAGCAGGCAACATTGGTGTTTCTGGGGCGTTAAATAGAACACAAAAATCATGGCTACTATGTCACACAGCAAAATACAGTGTTGCCTACATAGCAGCTGCTTGATCATGTCATAAGTTTACCAATCTCTTAAATAATTAATAACTTTTTCCTGTCTCGTTTTACATAGAAACGATTTTGAGCAAAGTTGTAGCTGAGAAAATTTTCTATAAGAATGGCTATCGAACTGTTTCGCAGCTCAATATGGAAAAAGACTAGAAGGCAATGAACAAAAAGTTGAGATTTCCCATAGTAATTTACATGTAAACTTCAAATGGCTTGTGCGAAGTCTGTTTCTAACCAAATGAGCTGTAACTTTGGGAGGCGAATCAGGACCCGATTTGAAACCATTTAAGCACTGTGGAGCGAAAAAGTCAAAATTTGTATCAGTCTATTATCCATATTTAGCACAAAAAGAACATGGTTGAATGCAATTTTTTATGTAGTTGTTCATCCCAGGTTATAATAAGTCAGATCTGGCCAACTTCATAGTTGATTCTATTCTAAAACATATATGAAGTTTGTCGAAGGGATGTAGGAACCACCACATTTCAGTTTTTTCATACTGGGATTGTCCAGAATCTCTCTTTGGATTGACTGGATTGTTTGGAATTCCCCTCAATAATGAGTGAAATCCTACCTGGGATTGTCCGAAATCTCTCCTGGGATAGTCCATATTTCTTCTTCAGATTGTCCGAAGTCCCCTTTGATATTATTGGGAAGCTGCACTGGGATTTTCATGAATCCTCGTTGGGATTGTCCATCAGAATCCGTACTATGCGGTTGCTAATTTTTGCAGTACTCGAACGTCATCGACATGGCAGTAAAGGAAAACATCTCTGACCGTTCCGTAAGGTCACCATAAAAATGTTCCATCGATTTTAAGGGGCAGCTTGTAGTTCCTTTGGTACACGCACAATACGAAACTGCAATCGCCCTTCCATTGCCGAAAGATCTTCCCGGTTGTTTGAAATACATAAATTTGCATTGCTTGACAGTACCGGTTGCTATGTGTATTTAATGTTGAGCAACGCGAGTTACTCAGAGTTACTCAAAATTAACTCAGATTTTACTGTCTTGCCCCAAACAATTTTCCCTAAACTTATTAGAGGTCCCTGAAGTTTTACGAAGATCCTTGAGGTTAAAGAAAAATCCCAAACTTTTGGTCAATTAGAGCCTGAAGACGTCTTATTATCCTATCGATTAAATGTCGATATTATATAAACGCTCAACATTGTTTCTTCGAAATAGTCTAGAAAATTAAGAAAAGTAGACTATGCAAAACAAAACACCTCGCTTCTCTAAGGCTCTGAACCATTTGGTGGATTATTTTAACTTTTGGTTAAAATTTGACATATGGAATGTTATTGATTAACCCTGCTATCCGAGCGTGGTTACTTCTGACAGACAAGAAGTTAAATTTTGACAACTGTGACTGAGTTCTACTCGAAAACCGGTCGATCTACAGCACAGGGATTTTCGAACATAGAAAATAACTTTCGAAATGTCACTTTTAACCATGAGTTAAATTTAACTCGGCAAATGGTTCACAGCCTAATTGACAAAAATGTTACATACAACCCAAACAAAAAGGACTCCAGTCAAGTTCGTGGAAGTTCAACGCCCACTGTCAGCCTAAATATTTGGATTAGTCCAGAAGAACAACCGGACAAACAAAATGTTAATGGACGTTATTTTTAAATCAATGATCACGAACTAATTTGTTTTAAAACGAATAGATCACCGGTCAGAATAAATAGCAGGAATAGAACAAAAGAAAATTAATACTTTGTCCATCTTGGTATAAAAAACAAGACCTCGTCAGAACACAAGTGTTGGCATCAATTTGCATACCAACCCGGTGCATCTCCGCTCAATGCATGCTTCTCGGAACATTTTAATTTCAGATCCCATCAATCTCGTCCCAATGTACAAGCCCCCAAACCGCCCGAAGCTCGGTCCAAGGAAAATTCAATTTAAATTTATTACCACCTCGCGCACCTTCTCCTCAACCCTCCAAGCGTTCGACCAGCAGCGCCATATTTATTGGAAAATTTCCAAGCACAAGCCCAAGAAAGAAGACATCGTTCTTCGGTCGATCGGACAGCTGCACCCATTCCCATCATCAGTAGGACTAGCGAACCGAGCCTGCTTGGATCGATTGGTTTATGACGCCGAAAAAAAAATATGAAACTCAAATTAGCATACCTTCTTCATTTGCTCCACGACAGGAGGAAATCGATCGGAGATAAACTCACCTGTGACGAGATTAGCGTGATGGAACTGGCACACCGCGTCCGCCTCGAACCAGGAAATTTTGTCACGGAAGTAGCGATAGAAGACGGGGAATCCGTCCTCCGGCAGCGTCCAGGTGTTGCTGATGTTTACCTGAAAGGAGGAGAAACCGGAAGGAAGTGCGCTGGTGAGATATTGCGTTTTAGTCGGTGGTGAGTCGGAGCTGGTTTGATGGCTCTTTAATCGCACGGTTTGTTGGTGTTTTGTGGCTAGATAATGCGTCCCGGGGGAAGGCATGTGGACTGGGGGGAAGCTTTACGAAGACTAAATCGTCAATCATTGAAGATTACAGGGCATTTTTTGGGGAAGGATAAATCGATGTTGCTGAATAAGGAGGAATGAGGGAATTGTAGAGTATAGTGGTAGATATTATCAATGATGAAACATTCTATGTTATTTCACAGTATAAGCAACGATCAATATTGCGCATTTTGCAAAAAGGTAGACTCCTGCGCTGAAAATAATCCCTCAGATTTTTTAGCGCTCATGCCAGTAAATATAAAACTTGACCAATCATCATTGTATTAAGTGCTACTTTTTAATAGGATATCATATTGACATTGTAGTGGTGATTGAACTATGAAAATATTTTTTTTATTTTTTTGGGCAGAGCGAAAACAATTCTTAGGGATTATTTTCAGCACAGGAGTCTGGTGCAAAATGCGCAATACTCAACTAATGATTATAAATTGGCTCATTACTTGACTACAGCGTTGTCAGATTGTTTTCATGCTTATCAGTATCAAATGTTTGATAAAATCGGTATTTATCGGTATTTACTATTATAATTAATTTTTATTTTTTATTCTTTAAGTCATAACACAAAACAGCAAATTTGTATCTAGCAAGGATCTGGACAACAAAATTGTTATTTAGACCATTTATTAACAAATACTTATTAAGATTTCTGTGTAACTGAATCGTTAAGTCCCATTTGGAGAAATGAAATGTTTCACACAGCAATAGAATATTCTTTATTCGTTCACATAAATGAAAGAACTAACGACTGCGAATTTGATGAAATCTTTGATTACAGTTCAGCAATGTTGAATATGCAGTTGAGAAGAAGACGTCAGAGTCATGCAAAACATTCGGTTTGGTACAACAGGGAACTGGAAAATTTTAAAAATCGAAAGCAAAAAGCGCACAAATTTTATAAAAAATATAATAGTGAAGAAACTTTGGCATACTATTTAGACATTTGCGATTAGTTAAATTTGGCCGTGAATATGGCATTAGAGGAGTATAATTTAAAAAAAAAACTGAACTTGAAATAAAATCTTGTCCTAGGAACTTCTTCAATTATGTGAAAACCAAATTAAAATCTGATAATTTTCCATCAAAGATGCATTTGGACGATAGGGTAGGTGAGAACTCGGATGATATATGCAATTTGTTTGCAAATTTCTTCCTAGAAATCTATACTACGTTTTCAGTGACCGTGAATAATTTGGATCTTATCCAGAATTTTCATGTGACATCAGCGTAAGTTAAATCAAGGTTCGTGATATCTTAAAGGGTTTAAACAATTTAGATGCATCTAAAGGTCCTGGCTCTGACGGTGTTTCTGGCTCTGACGGTGTTCATGAAAACTTTAGCAACTGAACTTAGTGTTCCACTATTTTGGATTTTCAATATGTCACTGTAATCACCTCCCCGTGGTGTAGCCTGGGCAATGTTGTCCTTCTGACAATAGCAAAGTGAGGGGGTGCGACGCGAACACTGGCGCGGTAACCATAACACGGCGATCGAGGAAATGCTTCGTCAACCCGCAGGAGTGCCAACCGGCACATTAGGATCGACGCCAATAAGATTCTTATTACGGCATACTGGATACGGCATGGAACTATGGACACGACACGGCACAATGGATTGGATACCACGCTACAGGGCTGACAGTCGTGCTATTCTGCTCCCTAAGTAAAGAAGGGTGACACCTTCTTGAAATGGCGGCTGCCCCCGTCCCGGTAAAACCTTGGCAGGCCTCCGGATACGTTCAAAACTCGTCACCAATTGGTGATTGGTGAGTAGTAGACTCAGATGTAACATTCCTGACTTACGCCGATCTGGCTCTGAACACGGCCCCCATGAAGGACCGTGTCAACCCTAGCATGGCCTCCCTGCTTGCATAGATAACCATGGGATCACGATAGGCGACTACATACAACGAGTGGAGATAGCGGCCCGGAGGGGGGACCCAACAGAATGGAGAAAAACGGAGAAAAAACAAAAAAGAAGAAAATGAGAAAACCCAAAAAAAAAATATGAAGGACGACGGCAAGACGCCAGAAATTGAAAACGGAGGAGCGAACGTGTTCGCAAGGAGCGGGATATTGCAGAGATCACCAGTGTTGAACCTGGAGGCAACAGCGAGTTCCAACAGCAGCAGTAAGCCCCAAGGTGATCAGCAAGGACACCAAGGAGAGCTAGGTCTTATGCTAAGCCAGGTGTTCACACCGAAATCCAGCAGTAGCACACTCCAAGAAGGATTGCAGCTTGGGAAGACCAAATTGATGGAGGTCAGGAGGAGGATCAATGAACTCCATGACTTCATCAAGGATAAGAGCAACGTCCACAAGGCAATAAAGGAAATGGTGACGGGCATCAAATCCGCCATTATTGCTGCCGAACGTGAACAAGATGCGCTGAGGACTGCGCGTAACTGCCGAAAGGGCACTGATCGAGGCCAAGGAGAAAGCAGAGTGCTGATTGAACCAGCGACCGAAACGGATGTGTTTTGTTTCTTCTGTGCTTTTTTTTGCTGCTGAAAACCTTTTCGCATGCGTTTTGTTCTCGAGTGACTGGAGGTGAACTGGTGATCGCATTTAAAAGTTTTTAATACCGTGCGTGATTTTTTTTTTTTTTTTGATCTCTTGTTGCTTATGCAATGGTGCTTGGTGTGGTCTTGCGTTTTTCTTTGTTGCCCCGTACAACCTCTATCACGCTGATATATTTTTCTGTTGCTGCGATGAGCAACTTCTTTGTGTGGTGTTAAAGAAGACAGTCCGAAAATACATGACCTTGATTATGCGTGGAGTGCGTTCTTTTGTACGTACGAGCTAGAAGAGCGTTATCAGTTATTGCGGTGGTTCAAGGAAAATTAAATAAAGCATTTCTGAAAACATGACGCTGCAAAGTCTCTAGGCCAATCGGGTGAGATCTTTCCATTTTATCTATTTATATTTTATTTTTTGTCACTGATTTATCAAATGCTCTATATTGACGAATAGAGTTGCCAAATCATTCACCCTCCCACTAACACAACTCTTTCCTTCCTGTGACACCTATGAAGGTAGTATGGGTTCCCTGCACCTTCTTAAGTAGATGTTGGATTAACTTTCCCTCCCTTCCCCTGCGATTGTAAGGATGTGGCCAGGTATATAATGCGATGCTTCTATTGTAGATTTTATTTTCGTGTGGGGAAAATCACTAATCCCAAGTGATATTTTCTGCGTCAACACTCGATATTTTCTGCAAAACGTATTAGTTGACCATTATATAGCCACCCACGATTTGTACAATCGCATATGCTATGCTATGCTATGCTATGCTATGCTTCAATATGTCACTGTAATCCGGAAACTTTCTTAAAATATGGAAACACTCGTTTTTAGTGCCTATCATTAAATCGGGCAAAAAATCTGACACACGTAATTACAGTGGTATAACTATTATCTCTTGCATTCTGAAACTTTTCGAGACGATTGAAAATGAAAAACTGTTTCTTCAAATTAAAAACCGAATAACTACTATGCAACATGGCTTCTTTAAAGGCCGTTCAACAACTAAGAATTTGCTCGAATTAATTAATTATTCCTTGAATGCAATGGGTAACGGAAACCATGTAGAAGTGTTGTAAACAGATTTCAGCAAAGCGTTTGACATACCCATGCTTCTTTTTAAACTTCAAAAAATGGGAATTCATTTTGCACACCTCAAGTGGCTTGAATCATATTTAACTGACCGCCATAAAATAGTAAAATACAAAGGAAAGACTTCAACTCCCGTTGATGTCACTTCAGGAGTTTCTGAAGGCTCCCATTTAGGACCACTTTTACTTATTCTGGTCATAAAGCAAGCTGCGATTGTTTGTAAAATACCCATCCCGGCAACCCGGTATTTCTGACACATTGAATGTTTTGGTTTGAAATCGCAAAGATAAATCGGATTGAGGATGATGCGGGAAGTGGCGGGTGTGCAAAATTTTGGTGAATTCAGGGTACTAATGGGGTCTGATGAACTGCCTCTTTCTCTTGAGCCCACTCTAGAACCTACATTTCGTATTTAGATCTATAAGTCTGAGGTCCTCTGGTATATTCAATTAGACGATGTTCCTGAATATACAGTCAAACAGCACGTAATGTTGTGAACAACTTCAATAACAGTTGTTCAGCAGTGATCCCATTTTATTTACAACAATCTAATGCCTACGAGATTGTGCCGAAGGTATGTCAAAGGTATGCCGTTGGATGTGCCCTAGCTGTGCCGAATCAAATTTCGGCACAATGTGCTGAGTGACTTACTCCTTGGGACATATACAATATTGTATATGTCCCAAGAGGTAAGTCACTCAGCACATTGTGCCGAAATTTGATTCGGCACAGTTAGCTTATTTAAGCACTGTGATAACATTGACTTTACAATGACAAAAACCAAATTAAAGCAATAAATTAACTCCTCGCATAACGTCAGCTGGAAGTAATTTTTCATTAACTTTTTCTCAAGACATAGCATTAGCATTAGCATTAGCATTATTGACCGCCCACGGTTGCTACTCTGTTATTGCCAGTTTTTCTCAAGACATATTATAAAAAATATAACAAACACAAAATTGTTAAAATCTAGGGGAATCCCACTCTAAACTTTCGCTCTAATACTCGTTAAGTATTTTTAAATCTCTCTTAAGTATTTTTAAGTATTATATAGTAAGTATATATTTTTCTCTTGACGTGATTTTGATCATAGTAAGTCTTGATTATAACGTCGGTTGCTAGTGCAATTATTATTCATATCGATGTCAAATGTTATGATTTTGAAGTGTATTGTGCAAAATGTTTACCGAAGAGTTCGTCACCTGTACGGTAAGTAAAATA